TCCCCTACCGTACCCACTACACAATCCTTCCTATCCAGGAAATCACCTGTTGCAATTAAATGTATGATGGGCTGAGCTCTCTGTGGTATACAAAGGACAGCAGTCCTAAAGCAGATGCTGCCATGTACTGCGAGCGCACCACCTGTCACCCTTAACACCCACCCTGGGAACCCGCATGCAAATCCCTGCCCGGGGGTTCCTGTTAAATACAAACCCTGGTCCTAGGAGCCTCAGTCCTCCCCAGACACAGAACTGCCCGGGCCTGGCCATGGGGAGTTTGAAAGAGATAATGAAATCTCTGCTGCTTTTCCTTTCCCTGTTCTCCGCCCCCACCCGTGAGTGTCTATAGGGAAGTGGTGGAATTAGGACAGATCCATAGATTTCGTCGGTGCTAATTCTCTCTTTGCTTTGTTCACCTTTTCCCAGGTGTCCTCGCTCAGGTGCAGCTGGGCCAGTCCAGTTCTTCCATGGCGAAGCCCGGAGAGACCCTGACACTCACATGCACCATCTCGGGTCCCTCCAGTGACACCCTCTCCAGTTCTTGTTGCTGGTGGACCTGGATCCGGCAGGAACCCGGGAAAGGGCTGGAATGGATGGGAGATGTAGCCAAAGAAGGGACAACACACTACGCCTCGTCTCTCCACAGCCGAGTCACCATCTCCGCAGAGCCTGCCAAGAACCAGTTCTCCCTGCAGCTCCGCTCGCTGACAGCTGCGGACACCGCCACCTATTACTGCGCCAGATACACAGTGACACAGAGCAGAGCGGGGACTGGCACAAAAAGGGGAAGCAGACTCTGAACAGTGCAGCAAGGCCAGCTTAACAGGGAGTGTTGAATCCTCTTGCTGACACATATGCACACATGTTCAGAGAGAGGGAGAGAGAATCGGATAGGAACACCAGACCTACAAAACATATTAAAATGAGAACTAAGGGAATTTCTCTCTATGCTGTCCCCTACCCAGAACTACTGTCTGCTTCATGCCCCGCAATATAAAGCGCTACCAATCTACTATGCTGCACAAATTCAATCCAAAACTGCATATACCTGACCTGTCATCAAACATGGAAATAAATTCTCCATCCACAAGGGCACTACTTTCCCCGTTAAATATATCCAGAAAAAATGGTCATCAGTCTCATTCTCATTGCTCAAAAGAAGCGCCTTTCCATTTACACATTCATTCCTGTCTGCCTAGAACAGGGGTGGGGCCATGGGATGTTTATATCCAGCCCTTGAGTGCTGGCGGGAGGAGCGGGGCCGGGGGTTTGCCGTCCTCAGCCTGGCGCTCTGGCCGGGGGAGCGGGTCCGGGGATTTGCTGCCCTCAGCCTGGCGCTCTGGCCGGGGGAGCGGGGCCGGGGACTTGCCGTGCTCTGCCAGGCTCTATGGCCGGGGGAGCCGGACCGTGGGCTTGCCACGATCCGACCTGCGCTCCGGCCGGGGGAGAGAGACCGGGGACTTGCCGTGCTCCGGCCGAGGGAGCGGGACAGGGAGCTTGCCCCACAGTGCCTGGCACTCCATATAATTTCTATACCCAAATGTGCTCTCAGGCTAAAATGTTTGCCCACCCCTGCCCTAGAGTGAATCACACACAAGGCGGGGACAGTTATCACGGTGGGAGGGGGCCCTTGCACAAGGAGGTGAAATGATTTGCCCAAGGGCACACCGTGAAATATTAATACAACCCACAAGACCTGGCTCCCAATCCAGCCTGCTCTAACCGCTAGACGCCACTCTCCCTCAAGAGCTAAAAGCAAAAATCAGGCCTCTTGATTCACCTCCTCTCTCTTCTAACCGCTACACCCCACTCTCCACCCACAACTCCAAATAGAAACAGAATCAGGGAACTGACTCCCGGTCCCCCTGCTCTAACTGCTAGACCCCACTCGCCTCCTACAGCAGGGAACAGAACAGAACCAAGGGTCCTGAGGCCCAGTCCCCTCCCCTAACTGGGAATGAAACGCAGGAGTCCTGAATCGTACTCTCCACTGTTCTAAGCTGCTAGACACCAACTTTCCTTCCAGAGCACAGAACAGAAGACAAGAGTCCCACTGCTTCCTATCGAGAAAAGAGAGGATAAGGCAGAATATTTTCACAGTGCACACATCTCCCAGTGAAGTAAACCAAAGCTGGAGAAAGGTTTATTTTGTGGTCAAGGACCTGACTCAGGAGAGCTCGCTTCAGTTCTTAGCTGTGGCACACACTCCCTGTGCGACTTTGTTACTTAAAGTGGGATTTTGATAGGAGCCTAAAGGATTTGCCCAATTCATTTTGAGTTGAGTACAGTGAAACTCCCGGCCTAAACCTCTCCGTGCCTCAGTTTCCCATCTGTAAATTATGATAATAATTCTGCCTTTCTTGTCAACATAGAGCCTGTGAGATCTCTGAGTCAGTGACTGTCTCTTACTATGTGTCTGTGGAGCAACTAGGACAATGGGTCCCAAAACTTTCTTGGGGCTTCTACTCTAATAGAAATAATAATACCAACGGATATGAATCTGTCATTCCTTCCAAATCTGATACTGGGGCGTGAAACCTGCATGCAAATCATTGGTTTCCTCTTTAACTCATAAACGGCTGAATTTAGGGAGGCGCTGTGTTTGCCCATAAACAGCACCAGGGAATTTTCAGGCTGAAAACATAGAGGAGAATGAAGTAGTTATTAATTTTTTTTCCTATTGGCCATCGCACCATGTACGTTTTCCTTGGATGATAACAGACATCTGATCCAAATAATAGACATAGAATGGGATTATCAAAGCTACCTAAGGGTTTTAAATCCCTAGTCTCAATAAAATCAAGTGGAATTTAGTATCCTAGCTCCAGAGGTGGGCTTTGAAAATTTCATCCCCAGAGAGATACTGAGGAGGGAAGGATGGATAGAGAGATAGAGAAAGATACTACAGAGGGAAGGATGGAGAGATAGAAGAGACATGGAGAGATTCTATGCAGGAAATAGATAGATAGATAGATAGATAGATAGATAGAGAGGCATAGGGGACCAAACCGAAACAATGAGATGATATTTGTCAGCATGACAGGCAGACTCAGTACACCAGCTGCCTGTCCTTTGTCATGTATTTTCTAGGCACAGTGACAAAGGATGGTATTAATTACGGTGTGATTCCAGCTTCCTTTAGGCGATAAGAAGGGTGAGCAAACATACTTTGGTAAGGCAGAAACAGAGGGCCTTTTCCAGAGAGACTCTGAATGAGGGAGTCCTATGGGGGTCGTGGATGACACAAGAGGAAATGATTAGGGAGGCAAGAAACAGACAGAAAGGGATAGAGAACGAAGGGAAAAGAGAGAAGAAAAAGAAGAGGAAGACGGGACAGCTGAATATGTATGGGACTGAGATAGAGAGATTGACGGGTGTATATGGGATGTTTCGGGCTACAGACAGACTTTATTATGTAAATTTTCACTCAGTGTGCCCTGTTTAAATAACAACTCGTGGAGATCCAGAGGACAGACCCACTTGCAGTTGAGCTATTTGCTTCTGTTTTGTTTTGCTTTGTTTTCAGTTAAAATGATGAGTCCCTGCCCTTTTCCGCCTGTCCTGCTTTTGCCGCCAGACAGTGAAATATTTGGGGAATGGGTGGTAAGGGCACTAGCCTAGGGTTTACAAGCTTGGATTCAGTTCCCTGATCCATCACAGAATCAGGGTGCAGGGATAGCTCAGTGGTTTGAGCATTGGTGTGCTTAAACCCAGGGTTGTGAGCTCAATCCCTGAGGGGGCCGTCTAGGGCAAAAATCTGTCTGGGGATTGGTCCCTCTTTGAGCAGCGAGTTGGACTAGATGATCTCCTGAGGTCCCTTCCACCCTGATATTCTATAACTGAGAATGCCAAATCCATGATGAACAGCTGAGAAATAGGGCAAACACAAGCCAAAACTGGTGGTTATTCATTTATAAGATACACCAAGCCATCCATAAAATTAAACTCCTGTTTCACTACACGGGCTGACAAGAAAACATAAAGCCAGTTTCCTTAGGCATTCCAGTTCTTCTATCACCACCAAAAACACTGGATTCAAAGAGGAGTGGTTCCCATCAAATAATAGGTTCTTCTGATCCCAAAGGGCCAGCCACACACTCACCCAGGTCAATATATAAGTTAGAACTTACCCAAAAATGACACTGGTGCCAATCCTTTAGAATCTAAAGGTTTATTCATAAAAAGAAAGAATGAAAGGTGAGAGTTAAAATTGGTTAAAGGAATCAATTACATACAGTAATGGCAAAGTTCTTGGTTCAAGCTTGTAGCAGTGATGGAATAAACTGCTGGCTTAAGTCAAGTCTCCGGAGCACATCCACAGCTTGGATGGGTCATTCAGTCTATTGTTCAGAGCTTCAGTTTGTAGCAAAGTTCTTCCAGAGGTAAGAAGCAGGATTGAAGACAAAATGGAGGTGTTCCCAGGCCCTTTGATAGCTTTTGCCATGTGGAGGTATCCCATTGTTCTCACTGTGGAAAATCACAGCAACAAGATGGAGTTTGGAGTCACATGGTGGGCAAGTCAGATGTCCATGCATTTCGCCTAGTCAGAGCAGGACATTTCATTACGTGTAGATGGGCGTCTCCCACGAGCCATTGTTAGTTACATGTTTTTTCTATGGGTCACTCAAATTGAATAGTCCCTCCAAGGCAGAGATCGATAAACTACGGCCCGTGGGCCACATTGAGCCAGGGAGACCCTCCTGCCCAGCCCCTGAGCTCCTGTCCCAGGAGGCTAGCCCCCGGCCCCTCCCCCGTTGTTCCCCTTCCCCCGCAGCCTCAACTCACTGCGCTGCCACCACAATGCTCTGGGCGGCTGGGCAGTGCAGCTGCTGAGCCGCCGCCTGACCCGGTGCTCTGTGTGGTGCAGTGAGAGGGCAGGGGAGTTCGGGGTGGTGGTCAGGGGGCGGGGGTGTAGGCAGGGGTCGGGGCAGTCAGAGGGCGGGGAATGGGGTGGTTGAATCGGGGAAGGGGTCCCAGCGGGGCAGTCAGGAATGAGAGGGGGGGTTGGATGGGGTGGGGGGGGGCAGTCAGGTGCGGGGAGTCCAGGGGTGGTCAGGGGACAGGGAGCAGGGGGTGGTGGATGGGGAAGGAGTCCCGGGGGGGCTGACAGGGAGCAGGGGGGGTTGGATGGGGTAGGAGTACCGGGGGGGCTGTCAGGGGGCAAGAAGCAGGAGGGGTCAGATAGGGGTCGGGTGCCGGGCCACGCCTGGCTGTTTGGGGAGGCACAACCTCCCCTAACCGGCCCTCCATTCAATTTTGGAAACCCGATGTGGCCTTCAGGCCAAAAAGTTTGCCCTCCTCTGCTCCAAGGTGTGCTGGGTAATTACTTTGTGGGCGTTCCCCCAGGAGCAAACATTTGAAATCCAAGTATAGAGCCAATACTTATAATGTCACATACAAAAGTGATACTTGCATACAGATAGCATAATCAGCAAATCATAACCTTTTCATATACACCCCATTCGACAACCTTTGTACAAGATTTGTTGCAAATATATAACAGTGGTTGCAACAATGATCTATATGGTCATATTTTAATCAGATAACGTCACAGGGACATTAGGAAAGTAAGGGGAAGTGGGGTTTCTGGCCTGCTTAGACACATTAGTAAATCTTTATCTGCATCGTTAGGTGCCTAAATCCTTTTGAAAAACTGCCCCCAAGTGGCTTGCCCAAAGTGACACAGGAAATCTATGGAGAATTCTACCCCTTCCCTGTTGGTAGAATTGTTGATTAATTGCAGATAACT